AATTTTTGCACCAGAATGATTAACAAATAAATTTGTATCGTCAGCATACATATTTATTTGTTAATCATCCTGGTGCATAAATATAATGTAGATATTTGTTGGGAAGCTTTATGCATATCGTTAATACATATTAAAAACAATAATGGATTGAACTTAGGATTGAACCCTGAGGAACTTCACACGTCATATCGAGGGCTCCTGACTTTTATAGTAATACAAATTGCTTTCTGTTAGAAAAATAAGCCTATCATACCGTAACATTTTAGCTTGGAAAGTAAAATGCTGTGATCAACTGTATCAAAGGCCTTGGAAAAATCAATAAAAATTCCTACTACCTATTTATCACTATCAAACGAGTTATATACTTTGTCAGCAAATTTAATATTAGCATGTTCAGTAGAGCAATTGCCTTGAAATCTAAACTGATTTTTGTATAATAAATTGTTTAATGTAAAGTAACTATTAACTCTAATATAAATTACTCTCTCAAATACTTTTGAAAATACTGGAAATATAAAATAGTTCTTCTGTTAGTGAAATGTCCTCTCTTATAGTAACTATTTGTAAAGCTTGTAAAGCAAAGAACCGGAATGATTTTTATGGTTCTTTGGTTATTCTTGTTTAATTATTATCCGATCGATAACTTTACTTTTACCATCATTATTTGTTAAATTTATTTAACCCAATTAATTTATTAAACCCAAGTCGAGATCGTTAATTTTTTCAAAATTCCAATTTTTTTAAAAACAACCTAACTGGCCACACTCTTATTATAACTATGGCTTAACTATAAAAAATTTTTTAAAAAAAAAGATGTCTTGCTGGGAGGGACATCGTTGTTTCGTTTGGAAAAATGTTATTAACTAATTAACAGGAAATTAAAAAATTAAATTTCAATTAAAAAAATAACATTTTATATAATTATATTTTTTTCATATTTTAGGAATATGACCGTATGCTGCGTCGTTTTATGAAATTTTAAAACTAAGCAAAATTTATTTTTGTAAAGAGTTCGTTAGGGATTACAATACTGTGAACCACACTAACCGTCAGGTTTGAAATCTCCCCACATCAGATTTTATTTTATATATACTTAGTTACATATAGAATAATAAATAATTGATTACTTATAACCTCCAGTTAAGTGGAAAAATGCATGAAAATCAAAAAATAAACTTCAAGACGGATGTGTAAACGGTGCACCCCCACCCACCCCCTAAGTTTAAAACACGTTTTATCAAAAATAATGTTTTACTGATCAATTAAAATTAAGTAATTAAATTAATTAGAGAATAGTTACATTAATTGATCATAAGTGATGGGTGGAGTTAAATCTACATGCTTTGACCATTAAGAATTGACATAACAGAATATACATTTAATTATTGACAGTAATAGTCATGATTATTAGTATTTCATAGGGGTGCGTCGTTTGCACGTCCGCCTAAAATTAACACTTTTTAGTTATATAAATTTACCGCCATTTTCAACAAAATAACAATAATTTGTTGGCGGGTTTTTTTTTAAAACATTCTCTGGCGCACAACGACTTAAAGTGTGATTAAATGGAAGTCAGCAAAATATGTGCTGTTTGTTTTAAAACCTTTGGTAAAAAGTCATCAAAACTTCATAAAATAATTATTGAGGAAAAAATAAAACTTTTATTTGGGATAGCTATGAAACTGAATTAAATATTATATTTAGGCCTAAGCGTTTAATTACTTAAATTTGTTTTGTTTTTTATCAATTTTGTAAAAAGAAAGAACTGTGTCTCATTGAAACTCCATAAATTTGAAAGAAAAGTTATTTAGACATTTAAAATACTTTCTAAATAATGTGTTATACTATTTATATTACTAGTTTATATAATTTTACATAAATAGAATAATGTATTTAAGTAGTCTATTTTTTATTTGCAAGGTCATTAAAATTCAGTTTTGCTCTAAACTATAAAAAGTAAATCATCCTAAATTAAAAAATATTTATTTGTTTAAATAAGCCTTCAAGTTATCAGAAAAACTTCAGGTGTTTTAGAAACATCAAAAGATAATAAAATTATTGCTTCTGAGTTAAATAAAGATAAAAATGAAGGATGTTGAAAATGTTGTGGTATTGTCAGGAATTATTCACCTTTGTGGGGATGTTCAAGCTGTAAAAAATTTAGTTAATGCAGCATATGTATTGGAATCAGTAAGTACAGAACGTGTTGCTTTAATTATTCTAAAAACTAAAATGCAAAATGAAAATATTTTTAGAGGTGAAAAAGTTACTTAAGGGAAAATTACTAATTAAGGGAAACCATTGACTATTGTAGCTGGAACTACGCACAACAAAAGTGATCGTGCAAGTTAAAATCAAGTATTTTTCAGAACAATTATGGAGCTTGTAAAATGTTTAGAACTATCCCAGTGTAAAACCGAAAAAATGTGTTCTTTATTTATAAAGAATCTTAGATTTCGAAGTAGTATTGAAAAAAACGAACTCTTGATTCTCTTGATTATCAATACAGTAAATACGTAGAAGCTGGAAAACCAAAATCAAAGATGACTGATTATAAAAATGTAATTAATCCAAAAGTTTTATATCTTAAAGAAGATCCTGACGCAAACATAGAAAATTTAGTTTCAGAAACTGAGTTGCATATATTAGTTGGAATAGTTACAACTTTTGGAAAGCTTTTATCAAAACTATGGCCTGGCTTTGAACAATGGTTTTTTGGTCAAATTATATATTTTTAGAGGTTACTATGGCATTGCGTTTGATGGCAATAATGCCAACCAACTTTTAGACAAGATAGATGTTCTTGCTTGTGACTTTGCTGATCAAGGAAAACCTGATTTATTTCTAGTTATTGAATGTTTAAGCAAGTGTAAAGCATTGAAGCCAACTTTAAATAAAAAAACTAATGGTAATATTAAACCTGCTGCTATGGTATTTAAAAAAAATTAAAAAAAAAAATGAAGGGTTGCCCTTAGGGCCAATTTTCAAGGGGTAAAAACTTAAAAATTGTCCATTTTTGTGGCAAAAATATTTCAAAATGCAGAAGATCGCACAGAATAACATTTTGCATATAACTAGCTTGATGTTAGAGGTATGCATTGAACCTCAAAATCTTATAACTTATTTATTCCTTAGGATCGTGCTTTATTTCTTTAAAGGATGCAAAAAACGCTATTTTTAACCCATCATAATGACCAAAAAATTGTTATATTTTATTTCTAACACATATATTCATATAATTTTGAGGTTCATTGCACAACTTGATGCATAATCAACAAACTCTCCAAATATGATAAGTTTTGGTCAATCCGTTTCTGAAATATTCTTGCCACAATAAAGGAAAGTTAGTACAATATTGATATCTCATAAAAAAACGTTTTAAAAAAAGATTTATAGAAATTCTATTTATAATAATGATTATACTTGTCTTGAATCTTTTTATCTACCAAATATTGCACGATAGACTATGATTAAACATTAGATGCAACTGAATTCATAAAAAAACAGTTTCATAAATTTATAACCCATCCCTGTTGTACGCATACTACATACCCTGTCATACGCATACCATTCAACTACCAATGTCAAAACTTTTTGTTTCTAATCTTTCTTTAAGAAAGATTAGAAACAAAAAGAGCCATTTAAATCACAATTTTTATACTACAACTTATGTTCAAAAATAAATCCTAACTTCTAATTTTGATTTAGCTTTAATGAATGTGCATATCTGCACATACTCGACACAAAAGAATGTTAAAAATCTCAGCTAACAATGTCATCTTAACTATTCGGTTCCCTGTAATGTTTTTCATACAATAGTCAATAATAAATTCAACCTTTGAACCATTTAACTTCTAATCAGAAACTGTTTTGCGTTGTTATCTTTAAATATAACTTCAAAGCTTTAAGTAAAACTTTTAAGTCGAATAAAAGAGTGTTAGCTAGTATAAGACATCATACTTTCTCGTCATTTAGATCGAAGTTTGCGAGATAATTTTCCACTTCAGTTTGTTTATATATTTTTAAACTTCTTAGATATACTATATATATATATATATATATATATATATATATATATATATATATATATATATATATATATATATATATATATATATATATATATATATATATATATATATATATATATATATATATATATATATATATATATATATATATATATATATATATATATATATATATATATATATATATATATATATATATAGCTAAACAGCTACAAGATTATCTTATAAAGTAAAACAAAATGTTATAAAACTAAAAATTAAACATATATTCAAACCAGTTTTAGGCAAAAATGTAAATCAGTATGGAAAATCAGTAAGTCAACTAGAAGAACCACGTGATTTCTCAGCATTATATCTGTGGTACTAACAAAAAGCTATTTGCAAAAACAAAAATCTAAAATCAACTTTAAAACAGTGCTAAAAGAGGTGAAAAAAAGTACTCTAAAACGGTTGCTATGTGCGTTACTAGGGTTAAATTAACAGTTATCTAAATAAATGAAATTTTAACCAATTTTAGTATCTATTTGAAAAAAAATAAATATCACCAACAGTTTCTTTGATAAATTTGACTTAAGTTGAGTGTATTTTTGAAAAAAATATTTTTTTAAAACAATTTATACTTTTTAATGGGGTTGTGCGCCCTTAAGTATTATAATAACATGTAAGATACTGTTGATTAAGTATCGATAAAATTTAATACTAATTATGTATTCTAAAGCTTAGCCTATATATTTGTTCCCATTAAATGCATTTCTTATATTTTGTTGTTTTTCACCTTAACTTTTTTGCTATGTTATCTGTTGGAGAATATATGTTCAAATACATTCGAATGCATTTATTTATTACATAAGTATAGAGTAAAAGGCATGTGATAAATTTTGTTTTTTCCTAAAATTATGTGAATTATACGAACTATAATATCGAACTATACGAACTATAATAAAAATACGAACTATAATAAAAATAATATCACAAAGCTCATCCTCTTTTATTCTAAAGTTAAAATGCGTAAAATTTATATTTCAACCATTTCTACGGAGGTTCTCCATACCCTTACTCAATCTAACTACTGTTTTATTTCTAATTAACAAAAAAAAAAAAAAAAATTGGGTGTGGGAAGACCATCAAACCTGGCGGTCGTCGTGGTTCACAATCACAAACTTGCCAATAAAAAAAAAATAAAAAAATAAAAAAAAGGGGGGGGGGAGGGGATTTAAAAATGTCGTGATCCACATTTTTGTTAAGAAAAATGACTAAAATTAGCAGATTAAGTTAGCAGCATTTTTAGTTAGCTCTTTATTTAGTCAAAAAAATCATTATATTGCACCTTATTTTAGTTTTTTTTATATTTTCACTTAACTTGCAAATATCCTGCGATATTATTTTTTTTTCATTGATGATGGATAGCTGATACCTAAAATTTCATTTTTTATATTATCAAGAAAAAAATAAATTTCTAAAAGCTTTCCATATCTTGCAAACAAATAGCAATATTTTTTTGTTATCATAGATGGTTGATACCTAAAATTTCAATTCGTATTATATCAACAGAAAATATAACAAATCTAAAGATTTGTTATTTTTTCCCGTATCATACAGAGTGCAAAATTATTTTTTTGATACCTAAAAGTTTAGTTTGTATTTTATCAACGGAATAATAAAATTCTAAAGCGTCGTTATATTTTCCAATTTTGTTCAAACATTCTGCGATATAATATATTGTATTAAATGTGAGTTGACTAATTTATCAGAACTTTGAAAAATAAAACTTTGAACAGTTTCCAATATTTTAATTGTTTCTTGAAATTAACCTTTACATACTAAAGTTTTAATAGAAGACATCATATGATGGAAGGCTATCAACGTTCTCTTTTTGTTAATGTGAAACTTGTGAAGAAAATCAAAAACAAAGTGTTTCCATAATCTAAAGTGATCTTTTACTTCGTTTAACTCAAATTATTTATACCTTGGTCTAATCGAAAATTATTTTAAAATAATTTTCGAATAGACCAAGGTACATATTTGAACTTGAGTTTTTGTATTGAAAACATTTACACGACAACTGCGCCAGTTTGTACATTAAATAATTTTCACCATCCAAACGATCTAGTAAAGAATGACTTATTAGTAATACGATGTCTTTATCTATTAGGTAGTCTTCAATTATTGTCATTTGTTTTGAGATTTGTATTAAATAAATTGTATTGACCATTGCAATGAGATAAACAGTTAAGTATTTTTAATGAAATAATATTAGTTTTTATTTTAATAACACTAAATTGATTGCTTTAATTGCAGACTTTGATTATACTTCATTTCAAAAGTTATCATCGTCCACTATTTCTAAGGGTTTTGATTTGTATCGACCTTTTTAGGTTTTTGATGTCTATCGATCTCTACGGTTTCGACTTTTATCGATCTATATATTTTTCTTCGGAAATTTTATGTATCTTCGTATATTTTATTATTTGAGTAATAGCCAACGGATGGTAATTAAGTTCTTTAGTTAGGTTTTTATATTTTTGTTGGTGTTTTCTTTAATGCTGTTTTTTACATATTCAAAAGCATCTTAAGAAAAAAAAACTATTAATGAACATTTGATTTACGTTATTTTACCATGTTCTGCATTGTGAGGTTATCAAGGTAAATGAATTCGGTTTTGAAATGTACATTCCCAAATTTCGAAAACTTTCATCGCCAACATTGTCAAAAATATACAAAGTCTTTTTATTTTTATAATAGTTGTTAATTTTTTCAACAATCGCTTCTATGTTAAAGAATCGCTCTGGGAATCTTGAACAATTAATATTAATAATTCATAAAGAATACTCATTGAGGTATGTAACTTTCCAAATCGTGCTTGATATAAAATATTACCAGAAAATATTGTGAAATTTATCATTTACGTTACGATAAATTTCATAATAATTTCTGGTAATTTGTGTCTTTCTGACACCAGACATCCCATACAAATATTTGAATATCTTTTTATTTTGTGATTCGATAAAATATTGATGAATTTAAGAAAGTTCTTTTTCTCATCAAAATAACATATCAACAGAAGGTTGAACACCAAATATTGAACATACATTTAACACTAAAATAAACAACATATCAGCAGAAGGTTGAACACAAAATATTGAACATACATTTAACACTAAAATAAATAACATATCAGCAGAAGGTTGAACACCAAATATTGAACATACATTTAAAACTAAAATAAATAACATCAGCAGAAGATTGAACACTAAATATTTGAATGTACATTTAACACTAAAATAAATTTTTTTTTTGATTGTTTTTTTTTTATTTATTTTTTTATGTCAATTAAAATAAAGTTTACTTTATTTTAAGCTTGAATTTAAAACTTTTAAAGTATAAGGTAGTTAAAAAATATCAATCAAATTTTTAAAAAGTATATATAAATTTATATTACCAGGCTTGGACGGGAATGGCGTGCGATCGGACGCTGTGTTTGACCACGCACATATTAACAATGTTTTGAAAATAAAACCACGGTTGCTTTGATGTTTTGACTAATAAATACGTTTTTTCGGCCTATGGGAAATGCGTTAAAATAACCAAACTAAATTAAATTATAGAGAACAATTTAAAAAATATGTATTTTTTTTTTTTTACACATTTCCAACGAAAGAAGAGAAAAGAAAACTAAAACTGTAAAAGTACTAACTCAAAGCGACAATTATTTTAAGTTACGTTAGTTAACGTTAGAAATAAATGACTTTTATCTTTTGTTACTTTATTTTTTGCAAACAAGTTAAACTATTGAATCGCTTTATTGCTACAACGTTTAGGTCTTTTGTTGTTGTCAGGCTGAGCGTTAATACATTTTTCCAGCAAGAGTTCAGTCGTAGCTAGACCGCTGAATAAACGGTCAGAATAGGGCTGTTATACCTTGATATATATTTTTTTAATCAAATCCGTTGGATTATTGATCAATAAGCTTTATTTTATAAATTTATATTTCTTCTTAGTTGCATTTTTTGAATCCGATAAATTTTGTTATGCATCGGAATAATAATTATTTAATAAGATTTTTCTTAATTTAAATTTTGTTTAACAATTAATTCGTCACTTTATTTATAAGTGCTTCACACTATAATTTTTAAGTTTTTTAATAAAGTTTCAAAATTTTTGATGTCGTAATTTAAAGTAATAAATAAAATATTCGTTTAAAAGATTCATAAACATTACATGACAAAAAAAAATACTTTTTAACTTTTACATTTATCATACACTTTTATCGTAAGCACTTATCATGCAAATCGTTAGTTCTCTCTCGCGGAAATTCTCATTAAACATAACGGCGTAAACATTAGACGTTACTCTTTAAAATCTTTGCGCAAGAGAGCAAATGCTTTTTAAAAGCATTGGTTCTCATGCGCAAAGATTTTAAAGAGTAACGTCTATTGTTTACCTGCTTATGTTTAATGAATATCTCCGCGAAGGAGAACTAATTATTTGACAAGGAATTAGTTCAACTTAGCGTGACGGTAGACTTTGTGGATGGAAAAAAAATGTTACAAATAACATTTTTAAATATTTTTAATAAAGCGTCTAATTAAAATAATCGTTACAAACACTTAGTAGATTTATTTTAAAGTTTCGCATGTAAAGTTTTAAAAAAAAATTATTAATTCCTACCGTTTATCAGAAACAAAATATTCGTTTAAAAGATTTAAAATAAAAACATGGAAAGGTATATTCTAACGTTTACATTAAAAAAAAAAAAAAAACATGCTTATAAATATAATAATGCAAAAAAACTTAGATATTCTTTGGTGATATAAACGAAATGAAAGTAATCCTTAGAAGTAATTTTCACTTTGTTTAAATGCCTTCACATAATATACAAACTTAAGCAAAGATGATTTTTGTGAACGAATAATCTCAAAACGTTTTGAAAGAAGATCTTAAAGATCGTCGTTCATAAAGTTTCGAGCTTATTCATTACTTTCGTTATAAAAATTCGCTCAAAAAATAATCTTTGAAAAACAAAATATTCGTTTGAAAGATTTAAAATAAAAACATAAAAAAATACTTTTAAGCGTTAGAAAACAAACTTAAATAAAAGTTTCGTATACGTTTTCGTAATAATAATTTGTTTATTTTAAGCAATCTTTTAAAGTAATTTGTTATTTTGTTTAAAGGTGTTCACATAATATAAAAACTTTGAAAAAGGTAAACGATTAAAAGTTATTTCGTAAATTTTACTAGTTTCTTTCGACGCATTTCTGAAGCGTTTTATTTGTCAAAGCAACCGTGGTTAAATTGTCAAAAAAAATTATTGTTCCCGTGGTCAAACAAAGCGCGTGATCGCACGCCATTCCCGTCCAAGCCTGTATTACTAAGTATTACTTAGTTAAATACTATAATAATATTTGCAAACAAACAAAGAAAACTTAAATAATCAGCTTCCCACCCTCCTTTATTTTATAAAATACTTAAAACTGAATTCAACAAATAGTGCAAATTAGTTAAAAAATTAAAAAACAGAGCAGTTTTATAATATGAAATAATTTTAATGTTTACATCTTTTAGTTGAAAGTTTTTCAACTAAAAGATGTAAACATTAAAACAAAAGGAAAAAAAGCCTTAAAAAATTAAATTTAAAACTACTTTTCAAGTCATCTAATTCAGTGCGATCTTCATGATTTAGATTCACTTACTTTTGAATAGCAGCTGTGCTGAAAAAATATTAAACAAAAAAAGTATTGATATATTTGTATATGTATATGTGTGTGTATATATATATACATATATATATATATATATATATATATATATATATATATATATATATATATATATATATATATATATATATATATATATAAATATATATATATATATATATATATATATACATATATATATATAAATATATACATATATATATATATACATACATATATATATATATATATATATATATATATATATATATATATATATATATATATATATATATATATATATATATATATATATATATATATATATATATATATATATATATATATATATATATATATATATATATATATATATATACAGCACTCGGAATAAGGAAAATTGAGATCGGCAATAACTTGGTTGGCATAAAATTTTGACACAAAGAGGTTACCATAAAAAATAGAAACGAGGTCGGCAATTTTTGATATATATATAAATTATGTTTTTCTACACTTAAATTGTCATAACTTTGTCAATTCTTATCGAAATACAAATATCTTGGTATCAAAAGTTATGCGTAAGAGTGGCTATAAATTTATGTTAACCTCTAACCAAAAACTCATGGTAGATGTGTCAAAGATGTTTTAACACTTAATATTATTAAAAAATGTTTCACTCTTAAATTATCTGATTGGTTATTTAAAGCACAACAACAATGCAGTAAAAAAAATGTTACTAGATTAGAAGATACATTAGTTGTACATCCATAGTTATTAGGGAGGGAGTGCTTGCTTCCCCCTCTATCGAAACTACTTAATAATCATTTTTTTCAATAGACACCACATGAAAGGTAAGCCATAGCCATCTATCAAAAATGCACAACAAATTACAACACTTGCAGTATTTGCAGATGCTTGATACAAGGGATGATTGTTTAATAATTAAAAAAAAATTATACTACCTGCTTTTTCAAGATTATATTGAAAGTATTATCATAAATGTATTTTTGAAATAATTAATTAACAGTTAATACCAACCCAATAAATTTTTACATCAACCCCTTTTATTACACATTTGCAACACATTTTTGCAAGTTACAACACTTGATAATACTCAATGAAGTAAACATTTTGAGCATGTATCATAAAAGTAATCATCTTTACCAAACTATTGAAATTATTATAACAACAATTATTATAAACTATTGAAATTATTATAACAATCTTTATAAACTATTGAAATCATTATAACAACAATATGCAAAACAATGTAGAATAATAAAGATCTATAATTCAATACTAAGAGCAAAAAATTAACTACTGAAATAATAAGGCATAACAAAAAAAAAGGTACATCCTTTCAGTATAATCATCTAAAAACAATAAAAAAAAAGGTACATCCTTTCAGTATAATCATCTAAAAACAATAAAAAAGATCTTATTTTTAACAAAATAATACAATTTGTCTATTTTATTGATCTTAAGTAAAAAGAAACTAATTGATATTGAAAGTTTAAAATAAACTGATATTGCTGGCTGCTTTTATTCAAATGCTTTGAGCAGCTAAAATAATATAACAATTGTTTTTCATTATTTAGGTTATATGTATTAAACATAAAAGTCATAATATATTGCCATATTTTATTTATATTATTATTTATTATATATAGATTTAATGTACTAAAAAAAAGTCTAGTTTTTAACTAGACTTTTTTTAGCAAAGGATGTATGATACAATAACAAGTAGTTACATAATGGAAAATATTAGAGAGATTTAAAATGTAAGATAAAATATTTTTCCACTTACATTAAAAGTAAATATTTTTTTCAAATTAAAATTTAAGTTAAGGGAAACATTAAAATTAATTTATTAACTTTGTATTGAATATCTTATTATAAGACAAAGAATTTCAGTTCAAAATTTTATTAAATAGGAGATATTATTAAAAACCTTACCTTTTATTTTTTTGTTTTTGTATCTAAATCAAATTTGAAAAAATGATCTATTGACCCTTCTGTCTCCCACGACCACTTCGGAGGAAATAAAATCTTCCAAAAATACGGCAACCTGCTACAAAAAAATTTTTAATGAAATTTAGCAGACGCACAGATATACGAAAAACAAAGTTTTTGACATCAAAAAACTCAATAGTAAATCTAGCAAGTGTAATTGTAAAACATAATAAAATTCAACTATTTTAGTTTCTAAAATTTTTTCAATGAAATTCGACAGGTGCATAGATAAATAAAAAATAAAGTTTTTGAAATCAAAAACTCAATAATAAATCTAGCAAGTAAAATTATAAACTTAACTGAATAAAAATTTAACTTATATAGTTTCTAAAAATAAATCGTCACGTTGGTTTGAATTTTGGATATTAGGAGAATTTAAAAAAAAATCTTTTTTTTTTTTAATGTTAACTAAAATTATTTATATTATTGTTTTTTATTTGTTCATTTTATTTGTTCTTTTTTTGGTTAATGTATAAAAAATACAAAAAGAAATAAAAAATAATTTTATAAATATTTTTATTTAGATATTAAAAAGAAAAAGAAAAAAGATTTCCTTGCTATTCTCCTAATATAAAAAAATCAGTTAGAACCACCCTGTCAACGTGACGAAATGATAATATCAAATTCTAAAAAGTTACGCAACAAAACGTGTCTTCGCTACAATAACTAAACAAATATGTCGTGGCAAAGTTTGTTAGCACAAAATTTCGGTTCCGTAAAACACGGATTTCCGCGTACCTATTTATTAGTCGATGTTTGTAAACAGCAAAATATTAAAATCAAAATATTCAGAATGTTTTTATTTCTATTTAAAAAATATAAAACATTTAATTCTATTAAATAGCGTTTTTGTGGGTTTTTAAAAAAATTTAATCAGTTTCATCATTTAAATAAATAAAAAACCACAACTGATCAAAAGAAATTCAGAACGTCAGCACTTCTTTACAAACCGAGTTACTAACCGATGGAACAAATTAGCTCAGAATGTAGTTGATGCACCCACTGTGCACTTTCAAAAAACACGTTTAAAATGCTGCTTCGGCTGCAGCAATGTGCATTGTCAGCATAGGAAAGCCTGATGTGCTTCCCTTCATCAATTCAATCAAGAAGTTATTTTGATTACTGTAATAAATAAATTAAAAAAAAAAAAAAAAATTAAAAAAAAATTAAATGGTTTTTATATAAAGCGTTCTTGATACAGCACATTGTACTTTTGCGTTACCATTAATTCTCTGGATTGAGAAACGGTTTTTTGACATGATCAAAACATTAGCTTTAAAACTATTTAAAAATTGATTAACGAAGCCTTTAAGAAAGGTAAACAAGGCGCTTAAAAATAAACTTTTTGAGCTTTTATGATTGCCCAATGATGACATTGTCGTAGCTAACCTTTTTAGTCAAAATCTTCTTTAATCAAAATAATCAAATACCAGTAACGCGATTCTGGCCCATGGTCAAAGGAGAGAGTTTTTTAAAATTTTTATTTTACTAAACGATTGTTTACCCTTAGCAACTGACTTAGGAATAGTGTTGAAAATTCGGAAAATGATACAACTGTATGGAAAAAAAGCTTCAAGCTTCTCCTACAAGATTAGATTGTATATCGCGGAAATTGTTAAAACGGCAAACTTCTTTAATGAGAATCTTTTTGTTTACATCTCTCAAATAAAACCGTGCAAGTTCTCATACTTTATTTTAAACAGAAAGATTATCATTGTCCAACCAGACGAATAAAAACATATTGCCAACCATCCTTCTCATCTCAAATCTTGAATCAATATACTGGATCAGGCAATCTAAATCAACATTAAAAACGTTCACTTTAAGTTCTTTTGTTTGACTGCAGTGGAAATGGGCTGTGCCTCATCATAAAGGTGTTTTAACTTACGCTTTTCTTTAGTAGCGAGTTCAGCCTCCAATCCTAGCGAGTCAGCTACAATTACAGCTTCTTAGAAAACTTGCAACCAAATGTCCCTAATCCGTTTACGATTTTCAAGCAGCTGTCCGATCAAATGTAGATCATCATCAATGGTAATGACTGCAAAAAATTCGCAAAAAATTTTACCTTATTATGGCTCGAGCTTCTTTGTAAGCACCTGACATAATGGTCCCATTTTCGTGTTCCTAACCGCGACATTTTTGAAGATCCATTCTCAGCCTTAAAACTACATTAGTGGTTAATTTAGTTATATCAACTTCTTTCTTCATCTGAAAGGTTTCAACACACAAGTATCGCTCTTTGATTTTCCAACAGTTAATTTCTCTTCCATAGAGGAGAAAACGAATAACAAAGATTATCAAGTCAGTATGAGATATATTGGGCGTACAATCGACTATGATTGAGAAGTAGATACCATTGTGGATTTCTTCCATTGATCCCTAGCTCCTCTGTTCTAACGAAAAAGGGACAATTACCAACGTTTGAAAACTTTTATTTTTTATTTTTTTTGGTTTACATTTGTTAATCGTTGTATAGCCCATAATAAAAATAATAATATAAACTTACAATGGCATAAAACATAACAAACATAAACAAGGTATCTGAAAGAAGATCGCAAGGATCTTGTCGTCAGAACCTTAAAAAAACATTTAACAAATATAAGATAAAAAAAAAAATTAATAAACTTTTACAAAATTGCGATGCAAACAATCTGTGTCTGAAGAAAGATCAAGAGGATCTTCTCATCAGATTTTTATACAAGAGTAAACCAATATATAAAGTAAAAAGTAAAAAGTATAAGAACAATAAATAAAATAAGTAGGAATAAACTTCTATAAACATAAAACTTCTATAAACAAAAAAATATATATATATTTTTTTAACTTTTATTACTAATAATAACTCAATATATTATCTAATGAAAAAATGAGATTTTTCAGTTTTTTTTTTAAAAAGGCAAAAAGTAATAGGTACTTCAAAATTAAAATTCGCCAAAACAATTATATTCCAAAGGTGTGGCACTCGATAGGTAATACAAAATTGATTAAAGTTTGTTTGACAGAAATGCTCATTTAAAAAGTTATTATTTCTCAAAATATATTTACTGACAGGTTTAAAAGAGAAAAGATCTTTGAATACCGCTAGGGATAAGTTATTTATCCACATATACACAAAACATAAAATATTAAATACATTTAACTCGTAAATATTCAGAATTCTCATTTCAATAAAATAATGCTTCGAATGAGAGAAGCGATTTGCAAAATTGATTATACGGATTGCGCGTTTCTGACGGAGATAAAGACGTTGCAACTTACTTTTTTCTGTACTTACCCAAGCAATATTGGCATAATTTAAATAGCTATGTATAAATGAATAATAAAGTTGGATAAAGACTTTCTTATTGAGATAGATGCGTGATTTATATAGGATGCCCATATTTTTAGAAATTTTTGTGCTTATATAATCAATATGGTGATTCCAAGTAATGTTTTCATCAAGATAAACACCTAAAAATTTTGTAACTAAATCTCTTTTTTTTTCCTTTTGATCGATAAAGATTTGAGGTAATTTTGATGGGAGAAATCGCTTTTTTGTAATCGAATGAAATAAAACTCGTTTTGTTTTATTAGTATTTAAGGTTAACTTATTACACTTGAACCAATTAGATATATGTCTGAGCTCTTTGTTCACTGTTTTAAAAAGTTCATCGATATCATAGTTAGAAAGGAATATATTTGTATCATCCTCATACATAATGCTTGTTAGTTTTGAAGCTTTATTTAAGTCATTTATATAAATTAAAAAAAGGAGAGGTCCAAGAATTGAACCTTGTGGGACTACGCAGGTTATATTAAGAAAAGTGAGTTGGTAATCATTGTTAAATGGTACAAATTGCTTTCAGTTAGATAGATAACTTTTAAACCATATTAAAATTTTATTTTTTATACCGTAGTATTTGAGTTTATAAATTAAAATATGGTGATCGACCGTAGCAAAAGCTTTTGATAGGTCAATAAAAATTCCTAGTTTATATTGTGATTTTTCGAATGATTTTGAGATTTCACGTACAAATTGGATAATTGCATGTTCAGTTGAGTTATTTTTCTTGAAACCAAATTGATTGTTGTAAAGTAGATTATTATCATGAAAATATTTGTATATTCTGTTAAACATAATTTTTTCTAAAACTTTCAAAAATGTGGAGAGCACTTGCACTTTCTAAACTTTATTAATCAGGCATATAGTGTAAGGTGACCATACTGAAGAGCAATATTCAAGCATAGGTCATACATAAGTACAGTAGGCTTTAACCATCAGCAATCTATCTCGTGAAGAAAAAGATTTTAAAATAAGAAAAGCTCTTGACTTTATGTACGATAAGATTGATATGTTGATTGAAATTGAGAAACAAATGTAAAGCCTTCTTCAAAAAAAATCACGCATAAGAAATACGATTGCTTGTAGTGTTGTAATTAGAGGACAAGAAGTTTGTTTGGTTAAATTATTTATCAAATTTTATTTTGATAAAATTTCAGTACAATTTGCAATTTCTCTATAAAGTGTGGGTTTGTTATCACCTTTCAAAGCAACACTGCTGAGTTTGATTGGATGAATGAAGTTTCTGCTTTGAATTAAGTATGATAAATAACTTATAAAACAATGATAAAAATTGTGCTGCGTTATTTCTTTCAGAAAAATAACTCTAAATTACAGCTGCAGTTGTTTCGTCAAGTATTGTCAATGTTGAAAACTTGTTTGTTGTTTCCAAAATATGTGACTTGATATTTAATTTTTATTGCTTTTTCTTGCCTGTTTAATAACTGATCTTTTTATAAACTTTAAGAAATATATTCCCTGTAATGTAATTAGCAGTAACTTCAACAAGAAGAAAAAAACAAAAACCGAGAATAACAAGTATGTTTTAAACACCCCTTTTCTAAACTAAATGATAAATTTTCCATCTCCAGTATATGCTTTATTAAACAACAAAAATGCATTAACATTTGTAGAATGGTTATCGGTAACAATAGCTCTTATCTTAAATTCAGATTGGTGCGTTGAGGTAATATACTCATCAATTTCTTTTTTCAAACATGACGGAGAGAACAGAGATAGGGCGATAATTACTGATTTCAGATTTGTCCCCTTCTTTGAAAATAGGAGTAATTTTTGCAATTTTTAATTGTTCTGGGAATACTCCTTGATGGATAGAAGCCCTAAAGATTTTAAAAAAGAACAACTTTAAGTTGTTCAAAGCAATCTAAAACCACGTTTCCATTAATTTGATCTGCTCCAATTGCTTTATTTTTTTTAACAGATTTAAAGGCTCTTTCAAACTCATCAAACATTAATTAGGAAGATAACTCATCTGAACAGATATAATTATCCAGGGGTTCTAGAGAGTCATTAAACAAAGATTTAGTCTTAGGGATTTTTTCAGACAGAGTTGGTCCTATATGAGTGAAATACTTGTTAAATTCTTGAGCTATAGTTTTTGGTTCATATAAACTTTTGTTTTGACTCTAACCATTTGTGGCAGAAAACCGGAACATGGTTTATTTTTCTTTCATTATTTGCAACGTGCGCTTTGTGTCGTTTTTAAATGTATTGAATAATTGGGAGTAATCATTTTTCTTTAAATTTTTGCGAATTTTTTCAAATAGGTTTTTGTAGTTGTTATAGATTTTTTCGCTTGAAGCTCTTTTTATTTTTAAAAAATTTATGTATAACTTTTGTTTTATTCTGGATGATTTTTTAAAACCTTTAGTAATCCAGGGTGTATTGATATTCTTAGTTGTTATTGTTTTTTCTACTAATAGAAAATTAACTTCATAAACAGAAAG